ACCACAAAGTAGCCAATGACATGTGGGTACAAATAATCAAAAATTACCTTTCATTATTATTATTACAGCTAATATATTCTTGTAAACCAACTGAAATTTTATTTTCTGATTACTGTGCCAACTCTACACTGGTGTCTCTAAAATATTGGATGAATTTTTAATCTATGAAGAAATATTCTTATAAAGAAAAATTTTTAAATATAACTAAGCAGACTTACTGATCTTCAATTTGACGCTTTTCATGATCACTCAAGAAACTTTTTTCAGCTTCCAGGTCTTGCAAATATGTAAAATATTTCTGTTCTAATGGAGTTAAAGGCTGAGTAATAACTGGTTTTCTTTCCAGACACACAGCACTAACTAGATGCCACTGAGAAAACCCCCTTTTTAATGAAAGTATAGCTGATGATTCTGGGTTGAATAATGTCCCTGAAATAAAAATTTTAGTGAAAGAGTGCCCTAAAATGCTAAATGATAACATATTACAGTACAAAGTCCAAAATCTGAATGTTCATTATCCGGAATGATCTAAAATGCGGACCTCAAAGCCACAAACATTTTTTTTTGTATGCTTTAAGCATTTGATTTTTAATTCCAAAATAAAACGTGGAGATTTTCATATAAAAATTCTGATTCTTAATTTCACTTAGGCACAAAATAAAATACCTCGTTATGGAAAAACAATCATGTAAGCATACATTTGTGAGATTAATAATTTGGCTCCATGGCTGAGTAACTGCTTGGCATACATCTCAAACCCAAACACTCACCTATTTTATATCCCTGACGCCGCCCTGATTTTGCTTTCATCACCGCATGTTTATCATGACAGCTTCAGTAATAACTCATGCAGTAATGTCTTAACTTTTTTTATATTAGTAATTGAACAACAAAAGTAGGGCAACCTTTTATGCTAACAAAACGCTTGGTGACAATTACAGATTTTTAAATGCTCTAAGAAATGTTGACAAGGAAAAATTCAACAAAAATTTCTTTTCATATGCTAAAAATAGATTTTGTTAATGAAACTCATTAGCTGAAAGATTATTATATATTTTAATTAGGAATAACTGATATGTTATTCACCATAAACCCAGAAGCGGCGGCAGAATATGTCGGCACAGGATGGAAGAATTTAGGGAAGACGAAATTTTTGGAATTTGGGGAAGCACAGAGCGGCCAAAATTAAGAGGTGAGAAGTTTTTTTATGATTTAGGGAAAGCACTGGGATGCAAAGTTTAGGTGTGGTGAAAATTTAGAACTTAGGAAGGCGCTTTGTAGCAGAATTTAGGACCCATAGAGACTGCATCAGGCGGTATTTAGCGCCGGACCTAGATAAAGCGTTAAGTATATGTGGGAGTTTATTTATTCAGGACTCGGATTAGTTTTAAGCATGTGCAAGAAATAAACATAGGTATAGTAAGTAACTAAACAAATACAATTCAGGCTTAATTCAGTACACAACAGAAGCAAGACAAAATTTAGCGTAACAACTTGGCTTTCGTTGCCAATCTTGTAATACAAGATAATAATGTATAACAGATGCTATTAAAGCTAGACTAAAATTATCTTTACTGATTCTAAGGTATTTCAGTTAATGTAGCGGACTGCGCTGTTTCCCAATCTCCTAATTTGATCCAGCTTATTATTTTTTGCAGACTGTTATTATTGGGCAATTTGATAAAAACTAAGCTTGAACTTTCGATTATGTCGAAAAGAGTTTACAATTCTGGGGCTGCCAAAGGATCTACAAAGCAAAATCATGCTTCGATATCCATTAAACAAAAAGTGAAATTGCTGCAAAAAATGGATAAAGGCATATCTGTTTCAAAATTATGCGAGGAGTATGGCATTGGAAAGTCAAATGTATATGACATAAGAAAAAAGAACTTTTAAAATTTTTTGTGGAAGCAACTTAAACAACTTACATTGAAAGAAATGTTTAATAAAGTAAACAAATAAATATCAAGCTTTTTTTTTTTTTTTTAGAAATTTTGATACCCTTTAGATCATAACTGTTCTTTATTTCATATTTTTAATTGTATAATTTCTGCATGCCATCTTACCAGATTTAAATTGATAATCTAATACAGTACAAAGTCTTTAATCCGGACTCGTCGGGACTTCGGTGATTCCGGAATAGGGATTTTTCCGGATTATAGATCATCAATTTAAATCTGGTAAGATGGCATGCAAAAATTATACAATTAAAAATATGAAACCGTAATTTAAGAAATAAAGAGCAATTATGATCTAAAGGGTATCAAAATTTACACACACACACACAACACACACACAAAAAAAAAAAAAAAAAAAGCTTAAATTTATTTGTTTACTTTATAAACATTTCTTTCAATGTAAGTTGTTTAAGTTGCTTAGTTTTTTGTGCTAATACTTTCTCTTTAATTCTACAAACAGACATAATTTCTTGTTCAGTTCCACTGTTCAAGTCCTGTAATTGCTGTGTTGAGAATACCGACTAACTTGTCAATCGAAATTTTTTCGTTTTCAATAACCTGTCACTTTTTTCACTATTGGAAGCGCTACATTGAAACATGCTTTCATTTTGTAGATCCTTTGGCAGCACAAGAATCGGAAACTCTTTTTGACATGATCGAAAGTTCAAGCTTACTTTTTATAAAATTGCTCTAACAGTCTGCAAAAAATAATAAGCCAGATACAATTAGAAGATTAAGGAACAACGCAATCTGCAACATTAACTGAAATAAATAATTAGATAATTTTAGCCTAGCTTATACTGTCCGTTATACATTATGCACATGTGTTAAGGTATTATGCACATGCGTAAACGCATATAAGCATGTGCAGGAAGTTTGTAGCTTTGAGGTTCGGATTATGGACGTCTGGATTAAAGACTTTGTACTGTATTCGGAAAAATCCCAAATCCAGAATCGCCCAAATCCAGTCCCAACGAGTCCGGATTTCGGACTGTACTTACATATTAAATTGGTTTAAAATTTTAAGCATATTTATAAAAACTTAATGACTTAAAATTAATTAATTGAAAAACCATTATGCATATGCAAAAGTATAAATCTCAAAAATGTTAAAGCAGATTTAATTTAATAAAACTACAGAGTGGAATTAACTCAAAGCATGAAATACTAGTAGATACTGTACACTGAGATCACTATATAGTGAAACCTGTCACAATAACCACCTCTGATAGTGACCAATATTTCTAGTTACATAAGTAAAAAAAGGTACTAAACATCATCACTGATTATGCTTTCTACAGTTATTACCTTAAATTTATCTGGAAGTTTGGCTGGTTGTCTTGGGAAGGTTTCACTGTATTAATAAGTAATAAGGAACACATTTTTCTACATTTGGCCAAGAGTTGCTCAGTAATTAACTAAGCATGAATGTTATTTGGAATGATTTGCAAAATAGAAACAACAGTTTATTTGATAATAATTATTTTGTTTGCTTCTGTCATCTTAGAAGAAAACTGCATCTAAGTGTATAATTAAAATTACACATTATTATCAGACTAATTAGACAAATTCTGTATTTTAAATCTACTTAATACAGTCAAAAGTCGTTAATCTGGACTCATCGGGACTTCGGCGATTCCGGATTATAGATCATCAGTTTAAATTTGGTAAGATGGCATGCAGAAATTATAAATTAAAAATATAAAACCGTAATTTATGAAATAAAGAACAATTATGATCTAAAGGGTATAAAAATTGACAAACAAACAAACAAACAAAAAAAGCTTAATATTTATTTGTTTACTTTACTTTCTTCGCTATCGGAAGCGAATTATAATGACGAGGAATTTGATTTAAATCATATCAAAGACGGAGTACATAGAGATGAAATACTACATTTAGTAAGGAATTATAAGCCAAATAAAATAAAAACATCTGCCCTGAAGATAAGGATAGTGCTGACAGGTCAACTTCCAATTCAGTGCGCGCCATGGCGTCCCCCCACCACAGAGCAGTGTAAAATTGATAAACAGATTTTGGAATGGTTAGATTAACAAAGGATATGCCTTTATCCATTTTTTGCAGCAATTCCACTTTTTGTTTAATGGACTTAGAAACATACTTTCGCTTTGTAGATCCTTTATATATTAGTAAATATATATCGGAAATTTTATTTGACATAATCGAAAGTTCAAGCTTACTTTTATAAAACTGGTCTAACAGTCTGCAAAAAATAATAAGCCGGATCTAATTCGAAGATTAAGGAACAACGCAATCTGCAACATTAACTGAAATAGATAATTAGATAATTTTGGCTTAGCTTATACCGTCTGTTATACATTAAACGTGCATACGTAAACGTATTTTGGGCATGCGCACACGCATATTTGCAGCCATAAAGGTCTTACGCGCATGCTTCAACATGACGCATGCGCAAAAAATTTTGTAGCTTTGAGGTCCGGTTTATGGGTGTTCGAATTAAAGACTTTTGACTGTATTAGCTATTTCTTCCCTTTAAGTACATTATCTGGGAAAAGCTAAATATTACATTTTCTATCATGTGTAAATTAATCATTCTATTTTGCTGATATTTTAATGACAAATCAGGAAATCATTTCCTAAATTTTATCACTTTCTGAAGATTTAGATTGACTGGTGTAATTTTTTTACAACTTTGTACTGCAATTTATATAAGTCATGACTAAAAAATACAGACATATATATGCAGATGGATTTTAAAATAAATGCTAAATTATTATCGACAAGAGTCATAATGACATATAATATGTTTTAATAAAATTGTGAAACAGTTCCTTCATAAATTTATTATTCATAATTATATTTTCCAATATAATATAGTAGCAAATTATACCTACAGTTTAGCTATTAAAATGCGCAAATAGAATATCTAACTGATTTCCATATAACAAATATCTTTATATATACAGGGTTCGTACACATTACTGCACACGGAAATTCGTACACATTACTGCATATGGCTGTAAGTAATTTTAAGGACTTTTAAGCATTAATGAAAAAAATTAAGGACCTATGACCAAATGGAAACTGAATAAATTAAACTAAAAATATTATATCTATGCCTGAACTTCACTTTTTAATACCATCCTAAAAATAAAAGAGATCCGTTAGCAGGATGCATTATTAATAAATATAACTTAATTAACATAATTATTAATACGTTTGAGAATAAAATACATATTATTAAATTTATCAAGTAGCATTAAATATTTTACACTTATAATAAATAACTGGACACATTTGAAAGAAGATAAGTGACGTTTTAGTTATGTTTTACTAAAATTTTTTTTTTATGTCTCATTTTGTCACATACTTGCTCAGTCTAGAGCAGGGATGTCAAACTCATAGGTACACTTAAGCCAAACAAACAATGTTTAACTTTAGGCAGGCCGAAAAAAAAAAAAAAAAAAAAAAAAAAACCAATATTCATAG